AGCCGAAATCAAGAGCTAGGCATTTAACAACCCAAGCCACCCAGTCACCCCAAGATTATTTTTAACTATTTTAGGTCTCTTAAGAGTCTATATGAATTTTAGGATGGAATGTTCAGTTTCTGCAAAAAAAAAATTGTTGAGATTTTGAGAAAGATTGCATTGAACCTATAGATAGCCTTGGCTACTATTGCCAGCTTTAGGATATTAAGTCTTCCAGTCCATGAATATGTGATGTCCTTCCAATGATTTGTGTCTTTAAATTTCTTTCAGCCATGTATTGTAGTTTTCAATGTACTAGTCTTCTGCCTCTTTGGTTAAATTTATTCATAAGTATTTTCTTCTGTTTGATAATACTGTAAATGGATTTGTTTTCATAATTTCCTTTTTGTAATCTTCATTGTTAGTGTATATCAAAATGTAACTGATTTTATAAGTTAATTCTGTATTCTGCACCTTGCTGATTTCTTTTATTAGTCAAATTTTTTTGTGTGTGGAATCTATGGAGTTTTTTACATGTAAGATCATATCGTCCAAGAACAGAGACAGTTTTACATCTTCCTTTTCAATTTGGATGCCTTTATTTCTTTTCCTTGACTAATTGATCTGGCTAGAACTTCCAATACTCCATCAAACTGAAATGATGAAACTGGGCATTTTTGTATTACTTTTGATCTTAGGAAAGCTTTTAGTCTTTCACCATTGATATGTTAGCTGTGGGTTTTTCATATATGGCCCTTTTTATGTTTATCAATAGAACTTTTCTCTATTCCTAAGGGGAACCCTCCCACACTGTTGGTGGGAATGCAAGCTGGTGCAACCCCTCTGGAAAACAGTATGGAGGTTCCTCAAACAGTTGAAAATAGAGCTACCATATGATCCAGCAATTGCACTACTGGGTATTTACCACAAGGATACGGGTGTGGGGATCTGAAGGGGTACGTGCACCCCAATGTTTATAGCAGCAATGTCCACAATAGCCAAACTGTGGAAAGAGCCAAGATGCCCATCGACAGATGAATGGATAAAGAAGATGTGGTCTATATACACAATGGAATATTATGCAGCCATCCAAAGGAATGAGATCTTACCATTTGCAATGACGTGGCTGGAACTGGAGGGTGTTATGCTGAGTGAAATAAGTCAATCAGAGAAAGACATGTATCATATGACCTCACTGATATGAGGAATTCTTAATCTCAGGAAACAAACTGAGGGTTGCTGGAGTGGTGGGGGGTGGGAGGGATTGGGTGGCTGGGTGATAGACATTGGGGAGGGTATGTGCTATGGTGAGCGCTGTGAATTGTGCAAGACTGTTGAATCACAGATCTGTACTTCTGAAACAAATAATATAACATATGTTAAGAAACAAAAGAAGAAGAAGATAGCAGGAGGGGAAGAATGAAGGGAGGGAAATCGGAGGGGGAGACGAACCATGAGAGACAATGGACTCTGAAAGACAAACTGAGGGTTCTAGAGGGGAGGGGGGTGGGGGGATGGGTTAGCCTGGTGATGGGTATTAAAGAGGGCACATTCTGCATGGAGCACTGGGTGTTATGCACAAACAATGAATCATGGAACACTACATCAAAAACGAATGATGTAATATATGGTGATTAACATAACAATAAAAAAATTTTTTAATTAAAAAAAGAGATAACTGAAAAAAAAGAACTTTTCTCTATTCTTAAAAAGAGTGTTTTTATAAAGGAAGTATGTTGATTTTATCAAATGCTTTTTCTACATCAATTGGAATGATCATGTAGTTTGTTTTTTTGATCTATTGTCTATTCTATTCTATTCTGTTAATTACATTGTTTGATTTTTGCATTGAACCCTGTTTCCATTGTGGAAATAAATCCTATTTGGCCATAGAATATAAATCTTTTAATATGCTGCTAAATTCAGTTTGCTAGATTTTTTTGTTGAGGATTTTTGCATCCATATCCATATGGGATATTGATCTGTACTTGTAGTATTAGTCTGGCTTTGATATCGGAGTAATGCAGGTCTCATAGAACGAGTTTGGAAGTGTTCTTCAATTTTTTGGAAGAGTTTGGGAGGGATTGGTATTAACTCTTCATTAAATGTTTGGTCACATTAACCTATGAAACCATCCGGTCCCAGGATTTTCTCTTTTGGGAAATTTGTGATTACTGATTCAATCTCTTTACTAGGTATATTCAGGTCCATAGGTCTATTCAGGTTTTATGCTTCTTCATGCTTCAGTTTTGACAGCTTGTATGTTTCTAGGAATTTATCCATTTGCTCTAGGTTATCTAATTTTTTGATATGTAATTATTCAGAGTAGTTTCTTATGATTCTATGTATTTCTATAGTACCAGTTGCAATATCTCCTCTTTCTTTTTAATTTAAATTAAATTAATTTATTTCAGCATTAATTTATTTTGTTTCTTCTGCTAACTTTGGGCTTCATCTCATCTTTTTTTTCTAGTTCCTTGACATGTAAAGTAAGATATTTTATTTGATATTTTGCTAATTCCTTAATATTTGCATTTCTCATTATACACTTTTCTCAGAACTGCTTCTACAGCATTCTGTAGGTTTTGCTATTTGTTTCCATTTCCATTAGTTTTAAGGGTTTTTTCTCCCATTTGGTTCTTTTTCCCATTCTCATCTTCTTTGACCCATTAGTCATGCAAAAGTATGTTTAATTTCCACATATATGTGGATTTTCCAGATTTCCTCTTGTTTTTTTTATTCCATATTGTTGGAAAAGATAGCTGCTATGGTTTAAATTTTCTTAAATTTGATAAGACTTGTTTTGTGTCCCATCATAGGATCTATCCTGGAGAATAATCTATGTGGACTTGAAAAGGATGTGCATTCTGCAACAGTTGGACAAAATGTTCTATATATGTCTTTTAAGTCCACTTGGCCATAGTATGGCTCAATTCCAAAGTTTCCTTGTTGCTTTTCTGTCTAGATGATCTATCCATTACTGGAATTAGGGTATTGAAGTTGCCTGCTATTATTGTGTTGTTATCTTTTTTCCCTTCAGATCTGTTAGTATTGCTTAATATATTTAGGTGCTCAGATGTTGGGTATGTATATATTTATGATTTTTGTATTGTCTTGATGTATTGACCCTTTTATCATTATATACTAACTTTCTTTTTTTAAGATTTTATTTATTTGACAGAGACACAGCGAGAGAGGGAACACAAGCAGGGGGAGTGGGAGAGGGAGAAGCAGGCTCCCCGCTGAGGAGGGAGCCCAATGAGGGGCTTGATCTCAGGACCCTGGGATCACGACTTGAGCTGAAGGCAGACACTTGATGACTGAGCCACCCAGGCACCCCTATATAATAACTTTCTTTGATTCTGTTACTGTTTTTGGCTTAAAGTCTATTTTGTCTGATATAACTATAATTTTTTTAGTTTCCACTTGCATGGAATATCTTCAGTCCCTTCACATTGAACCTACATGTGTCTTTAAAGCTGAATGAGTCTCTGGTAGGCAGCAATTAGCTGGGTCTTGTTTTTTGTTTTTTTTTTTAATCTGTCATTTTGCAGAGTTTTCTTCTGGTATTATGATGCTGTTTCTAATACCATGCTAGTACTGATGCTGTTTTTTGCTGTTTGAGATTTCCTCATTTTCTATTGACTTCTTATTATGAGGGAAGAAAATTTAGCTTTCTTACAGCTCAGGTTCCCTACATGATTTTCCCCATTCTTTCCACTCTCCCAGCATAGTTATATCACTAGGGGGTTTTGGCCTCAAGCTTCAATGATGGAGATGTCTTCAAATGTCTGTTGATCATCTTCATTCTTATTAAGAGTGAGACACTAGAACATGATTGGAGCCCTGTGTACTGGAAGCCCACATAGTTGCTCTTCCATATTGCCTCCTTCCTAGGGACCTGTAGTCCCTGCAGTATTTTCCACTGCCCAGGAGCACTCATGTTGGTCTAAAGGTTTCTAGAGTCTAAACCTTTCTTCAAACTCATCACAAACTGGAAACTTCCCCAGAGCAAGTGCATGAGTTGAAGATTCTTGTTTCCTGTAAATCTTCTTTGGAAGATCCTCTTCACTCAGGGGAAAAACAAGAGAGAAAAGTAATGAGAAGGAGAGTGGATAGGGTTTCCATTAATTAAGGAAGTTGTCTTGCACTTTAGCATGGAAGCTTCTGAAAGAAAGTCTGCATTGTGGGTTGGTTGTCAGAGTCTTGTACTTTCCTATTCAACAGTTGTCTTACTCAGCCAGAGTCACCCTGATCTGCCTAGTGCAATGGGTAGAACATGGGTTTTGAAGCTAGATCTGGGTTCAGATCCATATTCACTACTGATATTGTGGCAAATGCCATGACCTGTGAGTCTCATCTGTAAAATGGGAATATGGTTGATATCATATAGGGTTGTTCTGGAATTGGAAATTATGCATGTAAAGTGCCTGGTATATACTTGCTCCATGAATGATAATCCTGACATCATTAGAAACCACCCACTGATAGTTTTAGATATAGTCTAGAGGAGGCAGAAGGAATGATATAAAGGAAAAGCCAGGAGCATTTTGTTGAGATGTGGTGCCAGAGAGCTCTGCCTCCCCACCCAATCACACACACCTTCAAGGGGCAGGGGAGGAGCAGACATCTGGGAGACAATGGGCAACTAGGAGAGCCAATAAATCAGAATCACCGGAAGCTTTACCAACCAATGCATCTTCCCTCATTTCTTGTCCAACAGCCCCACCTAGCATGACCAAACATCCTGGTTTGCCACCAGAAGTCCCTCATCCTTGGAAGTTCCTCAGTCCCAAGCACAGAGGTCTCATTAGACAACCTTCCCACAACTCACACTGATGAATGTCACCACCAGGGTGACCTACTGAGGTCACTGAGGGTGTGTGGCAGGCTTTGGCTATGTTGAGGAGAATAAGGGTGAGGAGCTTGCTAAAGGGCCTGCAGGAAGGCAGATAAGGCAGTAACTATTCCTACACAACAGATGTGACTCATCTCTCTGACTCATGTTTCTTCATTTTCAGGTCGGGCAGTGTGAACAACAACTGGATGGACATTCACAACATGGTGGAAGATTTGGTCAATAAGTTTGATAAGTATGGCTTCTCTGTGTTAGTAGGGTGTTTTCTTTTGCCAGACACAGTACAGAGCTGTTTAGACTCAGTGGGCATGGAAGTCCCTCCAGTCAGGAACACAGAGCCCAGAGTGAAGTTCTGAAGCAAGAAAGGACAGATCACAGTGATTCCAAGGTTCTCAGCAACTTCACTTGGCTCCTGCCTAAGAGTCAGGCCATATTGTTGGGGACACAGTAATATGCCCTGAGGACCCAATAGATTAGGAAACAGGCAAACCAGTAACACAGTAATTAAACACCTGATTAAAAGGTGTAAGGGGCCAAAAGAAAAAGACAAAGGACTTATGTGACAAGCTTAAGAAAAGGGGAAGAATTTTAATTCAAGGATAGCTTCCCAGAAGATGTGGCAATATTAACTAGGCTCTGATAGATGAGAAAGACAGGGTAACAGGAACCATCAAGGAAACTTCTTATGGAGTGAGTGGTCTGTTTGGCTGCAGAGTAGGATTACCTCAAGGGAGGGCTAGGTGATGAGGCTGGACATGTCAGCTTGGAGCCAAGGCCATAATAACTCATAGTGCCAGGGCATGGGGCCTAGATTCTGTGCTGTGAAAAATAGGGAGCTACAGATGATTCTTGTTTAAGGGTCTGACATGATCAAGGTTCTGTGTCAAGAAGAAAAGTCTGACAGAAATGGGTAAAATGAGTGGAAACAAGAGCCAAGAGCAGTAGGGAGCTCAGCTAGGAACAGATGGTACCAATTTAGCCAAGGATAATGAGGGTCAGCGGACCAGAAGACCATGGTCAGGAGCAGGAAAGGGAGGGATATAGATGAATGGCTGCCAAGAGGGAAAATAATTTCTTTGAGAAGAGGAGAGATGAGGTGGGGAAGACAGGTAAGGAAAGAAGGGCAATGAAGTTCCAAAGAATGTTAAAGAAGAGAGGCCAGGTGGGAGACCCTCCTGCAGGAGTGTGCAGATGTTTCTCTATCTCCTTGTGCATGCAGCTGTCTGTGTGAGTGTCTGTGTGTGTGTGCACCCACATGCACATGCACATAAGAGAGAGAGACAGAGAGACAGACAAACACTACTGGGGTGTTGTGAGTGTAAGGATGGATCGAGATGCCATTCTGACACACTCTTCCAGAAAGGCCAGGCATCTTACAGCCCTCTGAATTCCTTACTAAAGTTATGGGAAGTTCTGGGGTTTGGGAAATGGGCCCCAAAGGAGAAGAATTGGGGTGGGGGCAGGGAAACTGTCATGTACCCACTCCCTGGCTGCTCAATGGCATCATTTTGAGCCTGAGACTTCTCACAAGCACATGCTTCCTCTCCAGCCCAAATCTGCGGGTGTCCTTCATCACCTTCTCCACAGATGGCCACACCCTCATGAAACTCACATCAGACAGGTAAGTGACATTTTGGCCTCCAAGGCAGGCCCAGTAGGTGAGACTGCAGAAAGAGCCAGGGAGCAACGGGTTCCCTGAGACCACAGTGGGAAGCCCACTAGAGTGCAGGCTGGGCAGGCCTGGGCTCCCCTCATTGCACTCTGACTCCCAGCTCTGGCCACCCAACCCTCTCCTACCCCTGGCTGCCCTGACATTGGCCGCCCTATGCTACTAGATCTTCTCCCCCCACCCACCCCCAGCCCAAGACCTGCCTTTCACCTGTCCTGAGTCCTTGTTTCGGCATTCTTCCCTGTTCTTAGAACAGGCTGGCTGTGAGGACTCCCAAGACTGTAGGGAACAGGTGTGTGGTTCCTTTTACAAACAGTGACCTGCATTAAGGATCTGTTATCACGTGTCACTCTCAGCCCTGGGTCAGTGGGGATGCCAGTGAAACTAAGCCATAACCAGGGAGGAAAGGATGAGTAGCACCAAATTATTGATGGTCTCAGCCAAGGGGATCCTGCTCCCATGGTGGGTCTGAGACAGGGGAGCCCATAAGTGGGATCCTGAACATTGGGCCTGAGGAAGGCATGACATGCCCAAATCCTAGGTGGGCCATGGTGGGCCCAACAATTTGCCCAAAAGCCTGAAAGTAGGCAGTTATGGAGCTTCTGAGTAGCTGGCTAAGGAAATTAAGATTCTTGAAGGCAAAAATGACTAGAACTCAACTCAGAGAGAGTTAAGCAGCGAAGAGAGGTTGAACATCCTTAGGACTGGATGGGCCCCGGAATTTGAGACATAGAGCTGCCATTCAGGACCATGGAGAGAAGCCAGGAGCGGCAGAGTGAGCAAGAACGGCCAGCCTGCAGGGGAGGGGTGTCATGGTGTCAGTGCATGGAGACAGCACTCTCATGCCTGACTCCAGGACAAGCAGGGAGGGGGCTGGTTGCTCCAAGCACTAGTGGAGGCACGGATTTGTGCATATGTGTGGTTA